TGTTAAACGGCTCTGCTGCATATTAAAACTCTGGGATAGCCCCTTGTGCCAGGCACACGTGGCTCTTGCTCACAGCTTACTATTTTTTGTGTCTGTACACATGAGAATAAAGGGCCACTAGGACCTGATGGCACTTACATATCCCTCTCACACATTAACATTATAGTTCATGATGCTATAAGCAAAAAGAATTCCCACTAAAGTCACACAGGAAAGAATCCCTTGGAAAACCTGGAACTACAAAGCAAATCAAGAAAAATACACATATGTATCTCTTACCCATTTCATGAGGAATTTCATGGCACAAAATAGCAATAGTCGTTGTCACACCTGTTTCTGTTGAGGACGAGAATGCTGCTCCTATTACCAAGCCATCAGCAAAATTGTGAAGACTGTCACCCACCAGAACCATTATTGCTAACAAGCTAATTTTCTTACCTAGGAAAAAACAAACAAAAAACAAACAACAAAAAAAGCCTAGAAGTTTTTACACAAACAGATCCTGTAATTTTTGCTATGTTAGAAATGATTTGGTTTTTTGGTGACTTCACATATAACATGAAAAGTCGTACTAATCAGAGGACAATAGTGTTTCTCTGTTTTATCCTTATTGTTACACTTCCTTCAATACATTTGGAACAAAAAAAAGAAGGTTGTAGAATAATTCAGAGATGCCAATACCAGAAAGTGGCTTCCTTATTTTTACTAGGTCAACTATTAGACAAAAAATTAGAATTAGGTTTGAGTCCAGTCTCATGATAGGTCCTAAGGGTTTCCATTAATCTTTCTTTCTTTGCTGAAATTCACACAAGTTTTCCTAGGTGTTATTTTTGTTTCTTTAAAAGATGGAAATTTTTCCACCATCGCTAACAGAATTGCACAGCTATAGTGAAGAAGAATATGGGGTTTCCTGCAGCTGATCATTTTAACACTGTAAAACATGCTACTAATGAGTAATATTTTCAGGGTCTGTTTTTTATGAGACTGTATTACAGTGAAAGATAGAGATGAAAGGCAACAAGCCTCGGAGTATCACTATTAGTACAGCATTACTGCATGCTCATTTCCAACTCTTGTTCCAATCAATTAATGGTCGTTATGCTCATAGCACTCCTGTCTGCAGCACCACTCATGGATGCAGATGGCTGTTTTTCTTTCCCATATTGTTCAGTGACCTTGGTTTAGTGTAGAACAGTACATCGGATGTTCATGATCAGGCATCTGACACGTGAAGAAAGGTGCTACTAGTGACAAAAAACACTGAAATCAAGCTAGGGAATTAGGGAGAGTCTCTCCGTCCAGCCTGTAACGCAGACAGCCACTTGGCATGCTGAATGGATTTGGGGGGAGGGATTTCATCTCAAGTAGCAGTGAGGCTCCATACATAAGCTCAATGTCTAGGGCTAGCAACACATAATTGGCTCACCTATCCTGTACTTTGTTCCATCCATTTTATCTGTAATCTTACAAGCAGGACCTCCTAATGCTTCTCAGGAAACTCATCCAGCTTCCCTCTACAGAGTATGGACAGAACGCTTTGCAAAGGGTTGCTTTTATGCCTGAAGAAGCAGGGCCGTGATTTGGGCCCTAAATATCATGTATTTTCCTGACTTTTGTTGGCCCCACGCAGACATAATACAACAGTCTAAGGAGCTAACGTGGAGCTGCACAGAACTGTCTGAATATAGTTATTACGAGGTTTCACTTGAGTAATGTTTCTTCAGAGATGACCATTTTATAGTGATGGGGGAGATGTTTTTCCTACAGAAACTGGCTAGAACTGAAGTCTTCAGACTATTATAAAAAACACACACAGCACATAAAAGCCTAACAACTGTATTCAGAAAATCCTCCCTAGTTGCCTGGGAGCTCTGCGGGTTCAGAACAATTGGCAGACTTGTGAGATTTTCCTGCCAGCTTACAGAGCCAGACGTGGATGTCCCCAGTTTGCACAGTTCTTTCTAAACAGTATGGGCAGTTTATAATCAATAGTGCAGAGCATGAGTTACATAGAAATAATAGATTCCTGCACGACATTAAGTTTGTGAGTTGTAATAAGCACTGGCGAGGACGAAATCATGGCCTGCCCTGAGATGTTATTAGTCTGTTTTATTCAAGTTTCTGATTGTTGAAGAAGATGTACCGTAATTACGGGAACTCACTCCAGCCTGTTGCCTGTAGTATAACATAGGGATCAGGTTAACATTGTGGAGCAATTGCAAATGTAAGCTTTGTGAACTTACTTGACTGAAAGTTAAGATGCATATGTAAACAAATCTGAATGTTTATCTTAATGTACTTTCAGCCTATTTTAAAGCAACTTTTTTACTAGCAATCATCTCACTGAGTTGCTGCAACAGTAACTATTAACTACTAGCTTATTGCCATATTTCTACAAATCCTCTTCTTAAAAAATCCTACATTTATATTTGATACTTTTCTCTGCTTAAATAGGGGATCGGGACTCATAACAAATTCTATTCCATAATTTTCATAAAGCTAAAGGGTGCAGGACTCTCACCATAGATTATGGTTTTTAAGCTTTGAGTAAAAGTTTAAAGCAAACATTTATCCATACATAGATCTTTTTTCCAATATTTTCATTACTCATACAGCAAAAATGTTTATAGTTAAATGTAACTTCTCACTGAATATGCCAAATATAAAATGCTACTGTTTCATCTTTTCAAATATTGATAGAATAAGTGTGGATAAATGAGGAGAGGGTCAGTGAGAAGTCATAGATCTTTTTCTTCCAGTAGCTTCTTGCTTTCTGAGTTACTCACTGACTATCTAAGGTGACTGACTCCTCTCGCAGTCCTGCTTGACATGCGTTTACAGGGAAGTCTGGCATTTCTGCAGATGGCAGGCTTCTGTCTTAGAGCTGCAGATTCCATTCCATTTTGGGAAAAAAAAACCACCTAAAAGTTTAGCTCAGTATCAAGGTGCCCAGGTATGTTTATGCATTTTGCTATTCATAAGAACTGTAACAACATAAACTTTTGAAAAAATGTATTCTCAAAAAACCCTGAACAAAACCATCCTCCCTTCCCTATTGTGGTTTCACTTACTGATTTCTAATATAGAGGTAAAACTGAGCTATGAGGAAAAAAAAATAGAACCAAACAAGAAATTTTACTGATAAACTAGATCAAATATAGTTATAGACAAAATTTAGTTTTTTGGAACAAATAACATTAAGATCACTAGAAATTTGTTTGTGCTTAGCAGGTAATGATGACTGAACAGAATGGAAACATCTAAAGATGGACTAATAGTCACACTAAAACTGGGACTGGATTGTGTACTGCTGGATAGGTGAGACTGAAGAAATGGAAATCCAGATTTCAAATGCCTCAGAAATGGAAATGAAGTCCACAAGAACAGAGAAGAATATTAGAAACCTAGAAGAAGATAATTACATTTTTAAGTAAATCAAACTGCTGACCTGAGATCTGAGATCACAAAATAAAGGGGTGTCCATTCTAGGAAATAAACTGATTTCAATTAAAATGCTATCCCTTCAGCTGAATCACTACAAATCTACTAAATTCACCAAGGGCACACAACTACAGTCAAAGGCAGAGTTTGCTTTATGCTCTAACCCCCCCCCCCCCTTTTTTTTTTTGAGTAAGCAGCAACAAAACAGAGAAGATAAGAATTACTTTGAAGCTCTCTGAACAAAACAGATTATCCTAAAACTGAGAGCCATCACAAGCCAATAATTCCATACATGTAATAAATCATTACTGGTTTAAGAAGGCTATTGCTTTAACGCGTAAGAGAAGAAGGAAGCAGAATTATATTAGTATACTGAGCCAAAAAACCAATCGTCGTACTACCTTCAGAAATAAAAGCCCAAGCAAAGCCCAATCTGTTTTGCATTAAATTTTGAATGTTTCCCTTTAAGCAAAAGCTTTAGAAAAATTATTTGCAACAGTGAGTAAACAAACACTAAAGCAGGGACAGTATAGGATTAATGAACTTCACATTTACAGGGCTGGCAGATGAAAAGGTTTTTAAGAAGAAATTTAATTATGTAGCCAAGCATCATCAGATGTGGTGAGGTAGCATACAGCAAACACAGCGCTAAAGCCAGCTTCACACTTTCAATTACGTCTTAGGTCTTAAGGCTTTTCCTGTTGCTTGTCTAGTCTTTTTCTTGATACTAACTTTTTTTGCTGATTGCCTTACTCTCTGGAGGAACTTCAGCAGGCTCAGAATCTTCTGGGCTTCTCTAGTTAAAAGCAAAGATAAGGGATCAGTGTTAAGGGGCTCTTCCAGCTACTGCTATAAATACAGGAAAATATCAAATAAGTTCAAGCTTTTTTAATTAAAGGTAGTTGCTGTTATTTGCATAGATATCATTAGAATAATTTGTTGAGCACTGGCAGTGTGATTGGTAGTGCAGAATCACATGAAAAAGAAATCTCCCTTGCCCAGAAATGGCTACAGTCTAATTCAGGTAGGAAGACAGACATTCATAAGCACTGTTGTAACCCAAGAAAATCATGTTTCTGCTTGAATACACAAAAAATCTGAGCCAAATGCAGAGCTGAAAAGAATGTCATAATTGAAATTGTATCTTTTCATTTTATAATGATTCGATGACTGTAGTTTCCTGTAGGTGTCTATAGGATTTCCAAGGAAAAATGGGTAGACACCAGTCTTTTTGGACTTCATGTTCTTCATAGTTACTCTGTGAAAACACAAGACTAAAAAAGAGGATCATAGGTAGGTTTCATGTCCTTTCAAATTTTTTTTTTTTTTTTCTTTAGGGTGGTACAGCCTCTTGGCCTTTAGCTATGGCTTTGTCTCGGCATCAGGCTTCACTGGCTGGGCATGGCAGCACATGAGTACGCTCCACTGCAATGAGTGAAATTTACCCTTATTTCAAGTGAAGAAGGAGACAGTATCTTTGTCCTCATCCTAGACAGTTAATTTGATGCATCAACCCTAATGTTTAATTAACAGAAACTGCAGCTCTGGGGAGAGAAGGGAGAACATGAGAAATCTCTCTCTCCCCCTACCTCCCTGGGGCTTTTCTTTCTGACTGGAGAAATTATTAGAAATTTGTGTCAGGGAGAGATAAGCCAAAAAAATTGTTTGTTTGAAACTAGAAAAACTGAATTTATAATCACTTTATTTTCTTTTTTTTTTTTGCCAAAAAAAGACCCCAAGAACATATTAAAGCTACCATGGCAGCCAGCGAAGAGTCAACAGCAGCACGGAAGAGTGCTTTGTTAGGGGCAGCAGCCACCACTCCAAAAAACAGAGATGTGTACTGGCTGCAAAACAGGATATGTTTCTTGGCTGCTATTAGCTTGGTTGTGATGTGGGATATGTACTGTAGAGGCCTGAGGAGGGAAGGGAAAGGATTTGGTTTTTAAATTCTACATTTTAAAGGAAAAATAAAAGTCTTTAATTCCCATGATTGCAGCCAGTCATATGAATTCCAGTAATTGTTCCACTTCTCTTATAATATTTATTCACATGCCACTTCTTTGAACTCTGAGTCAAAACTGCAAGACTAATCACTGACCTGAAGGATTTATAAGCTTTTCTTAGTCAACCAGTGTTTGTCTTACTATTACTCACATGACTCTGAAAAATTGGCTGCGCCTGTACAAACTAGCTAAGCCAGGCTAGTTCATGAGATCTATACATAACTTCAGGGGAATCTTGCATCTGAGAGGAAAGACGAGCTCATTCATTGTCATAAACAGGAAATGATGACGTGGCTCACAAATTAGTAAACATTCTTTACTTGTCTGTTTGCTCTGCATTCCATTGAGAGTTTCCCAACTGTGTTTGAGAGATTAGCAGTGGCTCATGAGGCTCTTGCCATTCACAACTCCTTTAGTAAAACAGAGTTCACATTATAGAAGATTTCTGGAGATTCTAATTTAAATAACCAGGAACCTACGTATCTAGATACTACGTACAATTTTCAAAGATTTGGTGGGAAAAGAGAAAAGAGGGTAAAAGGTCTGAGTCAATTTAGTTTGCAAAGACATATCTGTCTGGCTGCTCTCCACAGACCAACAGAAAATTATGCAACTTCTTATGGATAAGCACCGTTCCCCAATATCCAGTTTGTTTATGCTACTCTTTCAATCTGTGGAAAAATGCCCAAGAACAGTCCAAGATTTCATGTGTTCCCTAATTACGCACTTAACGCTCACTGCAGAAAATCCTGAAGTTTTTCCCATGGGACAGTCTGCTCTTACATACGATAATCTTTCAAACCCAAGGGAGGAGCAAAATTTTCAAGAATTTTATCAACACAAGGTCGTACAGGAAGCGTATTGTTATATCAATCTGATGCACACTTAAGAAAAGTTATTGTAAAAATCTGTGTTTGAAATCTCTGTAAAAGCTCATTGTAAACTTCAAAATCTAGAGATTCCTGACAATCATGTCACGTAATAAAGGACAAATCAATATAGATTGAAAAATAATACTGATTTATTACATTAATTTGCTTCATTTTTTGAAGAACAGAGAAAGAAGGATATAAAATCAGGGAAGTATGTCACATTGGTAACCTACCAACTGTATGGTTGAAGTAGATTTGCCTCTGCCTGAATGTTCATTTAATTCAGATTCCACTGGAAGATCATGGGAATGTCCCCAGTGCCCATTAACTAAAGAAAGGCCCTGCTGAATGAAGATGCTTTGCAATTAGTTCTGAAACCCAATGAACAGAGGTGCAGTCTTTCTCAGCCTTTTGTGGAAGTTTAGCATTTATAAGAATTATTTTTTGCAAAACAGAACCTATTGAAAAAGATTATTGGCTAGCATCAACATTTCTTAATGCTCATTTGGTTAACAAAACCCTGAAAAGTGAATCAGATAAATCATTGACAACCATAACAGTTTAATGAAACTTATTTTGTTTTAAAACTGAAGATTAAAATTTGAGGCTGAGATGGATATAAAAATTAAATTTAAAATTTATCTAGTTCTCTGTAGAACATGTTTAAAGATTTATGTGATGATGATAAAGGCCTCCTCTCCATATAAGTAACATAAAGGACTACTTTTTACCAAACAAACAAAATATCACCATCATCAGAATATTCCGATTTTGTTAATTTCACATAATATTCTTATGGTTGACTCAAAGACAGCGGGAATAGGCACTCATTGCTACGTATCTAAATCAGGCCAGTCATTAAACACTCTGTAAAACAGAACAAGCAAAGGCTTAGCCTTCTTAAGTGACATTAAGATACCCTCCCATGCTGAGAAACTTAATGAGCCATCACACTTTGTGCATAATCATATTTTCAGGCACCAGCCCCACTGCAATAAAGTAATAAAATTACTATGAGCAGGGCAGTGAGCAAGGAGATACTATTAATATAAGATTGGGTTCTATTGACCGCAATATATATATTAGATTTTCAAATCCACTGGGAGAGGGGTCAAAATGTATTTGGAAATTTTAAGATATCATTCTTTAAAATATCTTGTGCTTACATCTATGTCTTCCTCCTCTTCAGACAGAGCCTAGAGTAAACAACTGTCATTACTATTTCATACGGATACACATTCTTCACTTCCTCCAGTGCTAGTCATGAAAGTATGCTTACAGAGCACATTCAATTAACTGTTTCGTTCTTGAGTTATAAATATATGGAGCACATTCAGGAAGCACACAAAATCCACAGGGCAAAGCAAACGAGAAATTGAAGGTCAGTCTGGCAGGAACACTTTGGAAAGCTATTTTTAATGCTTCATTTAACTCATACAAATGAAAAGTATGTTCCAAAATCATTTTAACATTTTGTGCATGGTAAAATCTCAAAATAAAAGAGATTTTTTTAAAGGATAAATTTTACAGAGCTTTACCTGCTCACGTGGTGTCACCAAAAGAAAGAAACACTTTTCTATCAGAAAAAAACCATGAATTCCTCCAATTATTCCCAAAAGTTTCCAAATATATTCTTTTCCCTCATAGAAATGTTCTACCTCTTGTGCTTCATGTTTATGTAAACCAAGAGTCTAAAAAAAAAAAAAAAGAGATAAAGTAAATAAATTTACAATGGCAATGTTTTGAATTTTGCTAGAGTAATCCATAATGTGTTAATTCAATTAATTCTCAAAATTTTCTGTTGCCATCTCTTTCAAATGTAAATTATGATTCGAGCTAATCAGCTGAATAGTAGCTGGATGAAATGAATTATTAGAAACCCCTGCTACACTTCATCATCTCTCAGTGTTGAAAGGAATGATACTTTTCAAGACAGTTTTATGAAAATGACCTTTATACATATATATATTTAGTATATTTTGTTTGGAGTATATCAGTCTTAAAAGTCTAAAAAGTTTCTTGCATCATCTTCAGATGTAAACTTCATATTGAAAATAATCCATAAAGCTTTCTGCTGGTGAGTGCAGTTCCGTTTTTCCCCAGTGGCACAGAATGGTAGCCCTCCTTTGCTCTGAAAGTGGGCACTTTAAAGGCTACTGGATATGTCACTTAAAACTGGTGAAGGAGAATATATTCACACTCAAAAGTGTTTCTTAAAGAAATGCATTTTTCTGTCATTCACTGAGAATTGCCTGCCTTGAACCACTCTCCAAGTTCTGCTTCCAGAGATGAGGCACTGAGTACAAAGAACATTTTGACCAGGATTTCAAGTGAAGGTGTGAAGCTCTTTTTCAATGACCAGTTGAAGTCTACTCATAACAGTTGCATCATATCAGAGGAGACTCAGTCAAAAATAAACAAATACACACTGGAAAATTGGTTCTGTTTTACATACTTTCCTATTCTTAAATTTTATTTTATTAGTTTAGCAAAAAAATCATAGCACTCATTTTATTACAGTTCTAGGCAGCAGGATTAATTAGGCTGATAGCTCCTGGTTTTCTGGACAATGTGTGGAGGGCACTATGGATGCCTCATACAGCCTTTGAACAATTTCTCGTAAAAAGCATTGCAGAATCTGCCCCGTGAAAGAGCTTCATACACATCTAGAAACCTGGCTTGCACAGGACTTGTGGGTTTTCTGATTTTTTTTTGGTGAAAATAGGAACCATATTTTCTCCAAATTCATCATTTCTTGATTTCTGCTTCTTACTACTTGGAATCCGTCTTCGAACTACAAAGTGTAAATGTAATTGGAATGCTGGGTAGCTGGTCCACAGATTTCATGGAAAGCTTTACTTCTAAACAGATGAGCGTTACCCAGGTTTGTGTGTGTGTGTCAACATTTTAAAAACACAAAAGTGTGTATTACCTACCTGAGGAATAAGGTGTAGCAATGCATCTCCAGAAAGCGTCCCAACAGCCAAACCAACAAACAGCTGTAAAATGAGTGTATAGGTTTCTCGACAGGAGTTAAATAAAATGAGGGTTGTACCAAACATAGATCCAATAGTAATAAGTAAAACAGCAACAGTGCTGTAACCATACTCTGTAAGGAAAAACAAATGAAACAAAACAAGACCATCTTTAATCATTCAGTATTTGTGTTTTAGTATTTGTTTTGCATTTGTATTTGTTTTTAAGGCTGTGTTTTGCCACCTCTGTGTACAAGCACACAGAGGAGAAGTGACTCATTGCACCACATAGATTTTTCTAGTCAGGTATGATACAGATGACAGAATTGGAAGCCTAAAACCCATAATTTTTCAGGCTTTACAGCCAGTACAGTCTAATGCCTCCACATTTCAGGCCTTAAAAAGCTAAATAGACTGTGGCTGTGCAGATTACAGACACTCAGAGCAGCACAGTGAACGTTGGTCTGCACTTGTTTCCCCTCAACAGATTTATGCTTGTTATTGTGTGTCCTCACGTGCCACACCTGTGTGTCTTTACAGTCAAGACCACATTATCAGCCAAATCATATTCAGTAAACAAAGGCCTAAAACCTCAAAGGAATGTAGGCATCTAATTTAAGTTCTAAACATAAACTTTTTAGTCCAAATTATGTTTACAAATGTGCTGTGGATATACATTCCTTTAGTTACTACGTCAGGACCACCAGGTTACTGGGATTTTTGGAAGGTTACTCTTACAATTCTTCGGTTATACACTGCACACTTTCCCAACCTTTTGCACAACATGAATCCTAATTAATCCATAAGAAAGTCTTATGATGGAGGTAAAACACTGATGAGAAACAGACATAAAGGAACTAATGCCAAAATATTCAAAAGTGTCACTTAATGTTTCACACTTTAATAGCACTCCAAGTGCTCAGCACCTCATAAAATCAGACAGTAAATTTCACAGACTGCACATCCAAATACAAGGCTATAGTAGATACTTATGGAAGGTCAGGCCTTGATGACTTAGCCAAAACAGCACAACCCGTCAGTAAAATAGAACTGAAAATAAAATTAATGAGCCTATGCTCAGGTCACTAGGTCACACATAGGTCAAATCTGAAGGCATTCATCTGTCTCAAGCCAGCAGAAGTGTCCCTGTGGTCATGGAAACCTTCCTTTCCCAAAAAGCATAGGGAAAGGGCTGCAGAAAGGGCTCTTATTCATTCCATTTTGTGTTTGAATAGTTCAGCTTTGCTCATCTACACAGATCTCTCACCTTTATGAGACCACTAAAATGTCAGCAATTGGGCTGATGGCCTTTGACTGGACAGACTCTCACTCAAACTGTGAATTTGCCATGAACCTTCTATATGACCTGTGCAAGTTCCTTTCTTTCATTGTCCCTTGATTCCCCATCTGAAAAATGGGCATATCCCTGTAGCATAGAAAAGATAAAAGCAGTAAAGATCGCAAGGTGTTCAGGTAATGAGAAGAGAGATATAAGAAAGAAGGACTGCTGCCTTCTGGGGAGCTATAATGATTCTTCCTATTCTCTATGTTTCTTTCTCCTGTAACCGTTCTTGGGATATACATGAATGTCCTTCCATGCCCTTATCTAACACGTTTTTTTTAATTCACATTCATAGTTCAGTTAATCTGTGCACCATGGAACAATAGCTCAGCTCATTCCCACAAGCTTCTTAACTTGTGTACTTCAAGTACAGATAGAATTTAGAGATGAAAAGTGCTGTTCCATATGGATCGTTGGCCAGCAGAATGGGAAAGCTTACTAGTTCCTAATGGATCTAGTCATCTAGAGCTGACCATGTAGATATTAGGATAAAGGTATTGAAGGCATTGATTGGTAGCCTGGAAATGCTGCTCTAGATGCAGGTGATTATGGTTAGATGCCCGTTACTTTTTGTTCATTCATGGCTCCCAAATCCCCTGTCAGAAATTAATGCCCCCTGTAATACACCAGAACACCTAGGTTTGTAACCACTTCCCAGATATTACTGGTTTAAAGGAAAAACAAAACCGGGAACCACATTAATATGCCCTTAGGTCAGATCAGATTCAGGTTTTTTTGGGTTTTTTTTGTTAGGGTGGACTAGCGCTTGGTCACAGGAGAAACTGAGTCAGCAGAGTGGATGGGGCAGAAATCACTGGAAGCAGAGGGCCACGACTGCAACTGGAATCAATCTATTATACTCTAACTCACTTCTTGTTCCAGCTCTATCACACAAGTCCTGCTGCCCATGTGACTGGTTTTCTGGTTGTTTTTCTTCCCATAGTAGTATCCCCAAAGCTTCTCTGGTGTAAAATATCACAATATGAAAAACCAGCAACATTCACACAGAACTGATCTACATCAAGCATTTGCAACATCATGGTATAAAATGCCAGCTAACAAAACCTTAACGCTATATAAAGAGCAATGTAATGATTCTAGAGTAAGCCTGGTAGAAATTTCACAAAATAGGTCATTGCTGCCCAGCAACACTTATAAGGGCCTGTCACTTCTCAGTATAGTACTATTATCTGACATGTATGCTATGAAATTATAGAGAGCATAAATTAGTGTACAGAAATCTCATCATGTTTTGGTTTAAGGTTATTAATAAATGAAATGTCTCCAGAAGTTAAGCCCCTGCACCTCATCCACCTGAATTTTCACAATATTGTACTGATAACAACATAACTCACTTTCCAAAGCTGTTGGTGGAAGCTTTGTCTGCTTGAAGTCAGGAAGCTGACACGAACAACTTAATAGTTGCTGAATAATAGCTGGACTGATTTGCTTGAAGTGGTCCTTAGAAATGGAGGAAGAACTATTTTTTAAAAATATCTTCACAAGTTCACTGGCAGAGAAACAAACCTATGCAGAAAAGTATAGACAGTTACTGAATAAGTTGCATATACATAAAATGCATATAAGTTGCATTTAATGCTGAGGTTAAATATGGAATCCTAGAATAACAGTGTTATACAAACTAGAAAAAACTTATTTTCCATATACTGTTTTCTGGTTAAATTAATTCAATTACTTCCAATTCTTCCCCCCCCCCCGCCCCTCCCCACCCCCCCAGTTAAAAATTGATACTTCTATATAATTCGGAAAGACCAGAATCTTTAGTATGAAGAAGCACAACTTCCATTGAAGCCTGTTAATATCATCAGGATCTGACACAACAGTATTTTATTATTATACGTGCTAATAAAAATATTTCAATGCTAACACAAATCATATTCTTAGCTATTAATATAATATATTGGCTGCATCAAGGAAGTACTGAAAATTGTCCTTGTGCTGCATGTTTGTATCTTTAGTAAGATATGGAACTAAATTGTTATCTTAATTCTTTTAACAATGGCACAACACTTTAAGGTAAGCACACTAGGAGTTAACATAGTCTATATTTGCTTTAAAGATTACTTAATAATTGTATTATTAGAAGTACTTAAGAATTTGAACTACTTCTTGCTCTTGTTACAAACTTCTCTGTCAAAAAAAAAAAAGAACATTTCTTGGGAACATTTAGATTTTGATACACTTTCATGAAGACTTGCTTTTTCATCGACAGGATGAATCTTCTAGTAAAAACATGAGCAGTTAGCATCTGAATAGTTCTAGTGGCAATTTCTGTAAGAACTTTTAAAAATAAGTCCAGATCAATTATGCTATTCTACTTAAAGGAATGACCTTCATTTCTTAATCCTATCTAAACAGTTGCGATTCAATTGAATTCAAAGATAAATATTAATTTCTTTCATTTAAAGTAGTCTGCAGCTGAGAATCAAGCAATAATATTCCTAAATACTATTTTCTAATCATTGAAGTTTAAGTTTCTTCTGAAAGAAAACTACTATTTAAATAAAAAAGTTGTAATTATAATTAGTTTTAAATAACCCAATTAAAAACCAATGTCTTCCTGCCTTTGTTCTTCCACTAGTAAAGTAAAATATGTCTTGTAGCTCACTCAGAAACTAAATGAATTGAGTACTGATACATTTATTCTGAATACCACATTCGGGTCTTCAGGACAACAGGTGATCTTGCCACCTGGATCTAGTCTGCTCTCCCTCCAAGCAGGAGGGTGTGAAGACAATTCAGGAATGCCCATATTCGAAAAGACCTTTGGTTTGCCTGTTCTAGACAGTGACTTTGACTCTAAAAGTAGGAACACCAAGTGGTGACTGGTTATGAGCAGCATTCCTCACCGGTCAGTACAGGGCTGGTATTACTTTATGCCTTCATCAATGACCTGACTGATGGAACAGAGTGTACCCTATCACATTCACAGATGGAATGCAAATGGGACAAGTAGTCAATATGCTGATGGGACTGGCTGCTATTCAGAGGGATCTTGACAAGCCAAAGAAATGGGCTGACAAGACCTTCATGAAGATCAGCAAAAACAAATTTATTGTGCTTCAAACAGAATAACGCCCCGCATCAATAAAGGCTGGGAAAAACTGTCTGGAAGGTAGCTTTACAGAAAAAGCCCTTGGGGTCCTGATAGACGACTTGAACATGAGTCACCAGTGTGCCCTTGTGGCAATGAAGGCTAACTGCATACTGGGCTGCATTATCAAGGGGGTAGCCAACAGGTAATGGAAAAAGATTATTGTCCTCCACTGAGGACATCTGGACTACATCCAGTTAAATAACCAGTCGTACAAGAAAGACATTGGCAAAATGGGGGAAGTCCAATGGAGGGCCAACAAGATGGCTAAGGAATTGCAGCACATGATGTGCAGGGAGAGGCTGAGGGATCCGGGTTTATTCAGTTTGGAGAAGAGAAGGGTTGGGGGGTATCTTTGGTTTTCAACTATCTAATGGGAGTTATAGGGAAAATAAAGCCAGAGTCCTCTCAGAGGTGTACAGCAAAAGGACAAGAGGCAAGAGGTATTAGTTGAAGCAGGAAAAAAAATCTTATTTGTTATAATAAAGAGACCAATCAAAATGAAGTCAGTAAAGCACTGGTACAGGTTTCCTAGAAATACTGTGAAACCTCCATCTTTGAAGACATTCAGAATCCAATGGGACACGGCCCTGTGAAACTTGGTCTGACTTTGATGTTGGCCCTGTTTTGAGAAGTAGGATAAGGTAGATGAGGTCCAGGATTAGTATGAACCTAAATTTTAATGTGATTTTTTTATCAGGTACTGTAAAAGAAGCAGCAAAATCTCATCTGGAAAATAAACTGTTCATCCACATATGAAAAAATAATTCTTAATGCTTATTTAGTAAAATGTTCTTGTAAGTCTTGAGGCATGAGTACCTGCATCTTTTCCAGTTGCAAGCCCTAGACTTTTAAGTTTTTTAACACAGGGAGGCAGAGTACTAAGTCTCCATTAGTAAAGCAACTATGTGTGTACACCCGGAGGACGATACTGAAGAAACAAGTAAATCGAATTTGCATATTCTTATATGAAAAACTGCATGGCTGGATGTATGGATGGATAATTTTGGCTTCCAAAATCCCCGTTTCTTTACTGAGGAACAATAAATGAATACACAAATATTGTGACATAGTTTAACAGAACTTAATATTCTTGTTAGGAATTACTAAAGAAGATAATTTATCTTCTCTCCAGACATTCCTTTGCAATTTTTTTTCATCTGTACAGAATATTTGGCTCTCAATTTGACTCCCAAGCCTCAGATAATTCCCCTGCACACTTATCTTTGGAGCAACAGTCAGTCTCAGAAGTTCAAGAAATCAAAAAAGGTCTTATAAATTCTTCTATTGCTGGAGAAGAATTTTACTTCTTGTACAGATGGTATCACTACTGATTTCTGTCCTCAATAATTTAAAATTAATATGAAACACATTTAAAATGACCTTCATCTAAAATTATGTGGAGACCCCCTTAAATGCCTCATCACACTGATCAGCATGATTGTCTTTCGTGGTCAGCTGGAAAGAATTAAACATATTGATAGAGTATGTATTCCAATTGCAATAAAATTACACAGATAAATATTTATCGGAATAGCATTTGACCAGATGCCATTTGTCTCAGCTCCACATCATAAAATGACCACACAGCAAAAGTAAAAAAAACCCACAAAACCAAAAAAAAAAATTGCACATCTCTTATTCTCCTAAATGGAGAAGAAATGGTGTCTTTGAGTTAACTTAAATTGTAAAGAACTGAAAACAATAGAAACATATTCTTTGAAGTAAGTATTTCATATGTATATGTCAAAATATATACAAAGTATATACGTTAAAGTCTCCTTTTTTGCCTAAGGAATGTCTTCCAGTCTAAAGGATGGAAGTCAGTTACCATGTTAAATAAATATTGTTTATAATTGTGATTATTTTCTAATATTTAGGATAAGGATAAAATTCACCTGCAATGAGCCACCATCCTTCAAACACTTCAAAGAAGATACTGGATAGTAGCTAAAGTTTTTTCTTACAGACTCTGAACTTTCTAAAGGAGGCTTCTGGACCCTATAGATTATAGATGGCCACTAAAAGTCTTTGGAAATGTCCAATCTTCAGTCTACAAAAGCCTTTTATAACAACGTAGGTAGAGACTTTAGTTTACTTCTTTTACAGAACAACCCTTCTTTCTATGAGGTCACTAATGGGCCCTAGAAGCTCTGCGATATAAGAGCACAAGAAATCTCTAATAATACATGAAAGCATCAAAGCTATGGTACTACAGTCCTCTCTGTCTTGAAGAAACACCTGATTCCATGTAACACTAACCATTCTGTTAGCACCTCCCAGCTACTTTAATCACACATTCAACATCCATTAAGTTCTTCCCCCAATTAATATTTAAACAAATAAAAATATAAAAATATAATTCAGTATCTACACGACTTTTTGAAATTAATAAATTTTACTTCAGAAATAACGTAGTGCTTGCAAACCAATTTGAACTTATCACTGAAATTCTGTGACCAATACTACAATAACATAAAACCAAATTAACCTTATCCCAATCTGTGCTCCTTTCACGATCTTCAAAATAACCTTTCAGATAATCTCCTCTTGTATGGTTTGCCTTGACTGGAATATTTCTGGTTCCAATATCTCTGATTGCCGTACTAGAATGTCTTCTCTTGTGACTGTGTAATTGTCCATTTACAGTGCAGGTCTTTTTGGCTGTAAGCACGTTTAGGAGTTCTTCTAGTTCTAGTAATTAATTAGAAAACAGATATGTTACCCTGGAAAATACACACTTAAAAAGATAAAAACAAAAGTAATTGTTAAAATTTTGTTACTTTTAATGTTAATTCAACTCCTCATTTTAATACTTTTCTCTCTCCTCAATTTGGTACTGCAGGTAATTTCCGCTTAACACCTCTAGAAGTAAGACACCTATATACTCAGCCTTTTCTTCTTTATAGTACCACACTCGGATGTTTTGCCTATGACTATCTCAGAGGAAAACATGTGACTGAAAGGCAATTAATCTTCCAGTGAATCATCGGTCTCTGCCAAAGTTATCTAAAAATTACCACTAAATAGCTTCACCATTCTTAAAACGTTTATGTGTAAATGGAAGATCATGCTAAGACACCATGGACAGGTTTTCAGATACTCCAGATCCTTTACAGGCTGTCCTGAAAGCAATCGTCACGATGGTATCTGCCCTCCGCACCACACTTCAGATGTGGAACACAGGGCAGCGGATTTTCTCTCTCCTTTGGTCAAGTTGCTAATCTGGAAGCATGCCTGTTTACGGGCCTGAAGTAGGGAGGACGGAGCCAGGAGCCCTAATCCAAACCTGAGACAACGCAAGGATGTATCCCATGACACAACTTGGGTGCAACGGGGGTGCCTGCTTGTGAAATGCTTGGTTATATGAGGGGGCATGCTCTAGCCTATCTTACTTCACCTTTCTTCACCCCTGCATTTTCAAGTGATATCATCACAGTGATATTTTCTGTAAACCCAAGTTGGTCCATTGGAAACAAAAGCAGTCCACAAATTAAGTTCAAAGGAATTTAGATCAATGAGATTAAGAATGTTTCCATGTGATAATCCTTTATTTTTTAATGTTGTTATTCAGAAAAAGCAAATGGTATAATCTTAATGGTAAATCTTACAAAAAGTCTTGTGATAAGATGTTTGTCTACTTTCTTTGTCTAGAGCAAAGAGATCTGAATGGAGCTGAAGCTAGATTTGTTTTCTAAATATAGCCAACTCCAATTCTCTTTTTTTCTATGCTGTCAGTTCCTTGCTCTTTCCTGCAGTTACTATTAAGAATTTAAATAAATTTAAAAGGAAAATTTAATTAGCTTAGGCTTAAAATATACTTACACTGTAACAAACTGGTTAAGGATATTTTTTTTTGTTTTGTTTCTCTGAATGACACCCAAACTCCACCAACCATAAAATTTTGCTATTGTCTTCACCGGGGCCTGGATTTCACCATATATAGCTATTTAGTAGCACTGTGCCCAGATGACTCCATCCATTCTTGTAAATCAGTTATTTTAGAAGATCTGGCTTGGCAATTTTAAAGGAAGGGTTTTGCTGCAAAACCAGCTTATGCAATCTAGGACTCCAAGTGTAGGCCTGAGGATTTTGTTCTTTTTATGTTATTTACTTCTGTGATTCAACGTACCTCTGTGTAACCTAAGAGTGGTAAAAATGTTTTTAGCTATGCTCAATTCAACTTTTTAAGCTGTTTTAACCCATACTTAATGGAACTTCTTGAAAGTACTTTGAAAAGCTTGTAAAGTGTTGCTGTTAGCAGTTACCACATACAAGAAAGAGTAGATGTCTCCTAATAACCTTCTAAATCCATAGTAGGCAGGCCCCTGAGTTGACAGTTTAGCTTCTTAAACTGCTAAGCATGCAGAATCTTTTACAGACTTAGTAGCAGCTGCTGAGAGCTCAACACTTGTGGAGTTTTTGTTTTTTTTTTTTTAATTATTATTTTTGGACCACTCAGAACTCTCTTATATTTTTTTTATTTGTGGTTAAGTAGCATTTCTGATACATCTAGCAACAGAGCTCCTGAAGAAAATGAACTTCACATATTCCAGACTCACTTGCTGGGTACCAAGATCAGAACGTGCGTAGGGAAGCACAAACCATGAAGATGTTTTCAGGCACAGCGGGCAGATACCAGAGAGCATTTGGCCAAACACAGAGTAGCCTGTGTCTACTTCATCTCTTCTGGGGATACGTCTACACTGAGGTGTGAGTGACTAAGGTGCCTAATCTGGCCTACCATACATGAATTTTCCTATCTATACCTAAATGAGTCTTGCAATGTATAAAGATTCGCATAAAGAAGCAATGTAAATGAGGCCCCAGTGAACTCTGCCCTCACAGCTAGATTGCCACTCTCAGAGCTCTCTTGGGTAGTTAAGACTGTGCTGAGCAATTAAGGAATAAATTAATGTGACAGTACACATTCAGTAATCTCAGTAACAATTTGTTTTATGCCTCTCAGAGAATTATCAAAATAAAGAGTTTATTTTCCAACCTTGAATTTAAATTTAGAAGAGACTACATAACAGCTCAAAAACAAAATGGCATTTAAATCTAAAATGAAGTGCAAGAAATCCTTTTGGCATTTAAAGATAGTTTACATCAAATCTGTGTTGCAAAAGGCAACTAGAGATGAATAAATAGCTTACCTGTCACTTGGAGCTCAGTGGTACTGTTTAGAGAATTGAAAATATATTTTATAAAGAATTCTGGGGAGGGCAAACTTGCTTTCCCCATACAGACTCCTTGGAGAGCCAGAGTAATGATTAAAGCAGCCAGGCGTGGAAGAGTGTTTTCATCAGCACCATCTCTGTCCATTATATCAGCATTTTTCTCCAGAGTACTCACATCAACACACTGAAATCAGGAGAAAACAGCATGAAGACAGCCCTGGTCACCTCCATTTAAATAATCAGAGTGACAGGAGAAGAAACTGGAGAGAACACTTTCACAGACAGCCAGAGTAGAAAAAATACTAAGATTAAAGCTGTAATTAACAACAGGACATCAAATGCGAAACAGAGGATGTTTTCACGAGAACAGGCAAAAAATAAAAAAGCCTGAAATTTTACTCAGTGTCTGATGGGGAAGAAGTACAGTCCTTCATACAGGTTATTTTTGCTTAGCATTACTTTCATGCTGTTTGTATTATATCTGTGTCTTCCTCAATTGCACCTACATCTACTTCCAGAAAGTGGCAGAAAAGGGAGGAATTTCTGCTAAGGCACAAGAAATTGACTCAAACAATACAGACTTTAACTCCTCACCTCAAACTTCAGAAAGAATTCTCAATGTTTTTAGTTCCCTACCTATTAAATGGAATCAATAATATGTAATGGGGCACTTTATCTGGGGACAATATGAAAATATATAATTCTGCCTCTAAAGGGTGACTTCCCTGCTGGGTGACCAAACAGGAGCAGTTGATAGTCACGTACACCCCTGTGTGTGGATGTGTGCAGGTCTGAAGCGAGGGAGCAGGGTACACCTCTCTCAGTTACCTGGAAACTTATCCCTGTTTTCTTCTATTTCTGCCTTTCTTGTTTATTTTCACTGTGAACAGTTTGGGTTTGAGGGAAACAAAACAACAAAACAAAAAAAAGGCAAAAAATGTTCAAGTTCATTTGTCTCTAGCCCATATTAACTAAATTCAAAAGTCAACTAGATAAGCCAGTACAGTAATCATTTACAGTAATAAATTATTTTACATTTTAAGCTTTACATTTATTTTACCTCTTTCTATATATATGCCTTCAACGCTGCAGAGAGGAGGCTGGCATTTCTTTTCCTGTCCATCCATTACACATATAAATTTCCACAACCCAAAATTTCATTCTCATTTCAAATAATACATTAGGTGTTATGACTGAGAAAAGGATATTTTCTGTGAAACCAAAACATATAAGGAGGCACTAAAAACGCTTTTCTGCTATTACTACCCTGCATCGTTGTACCTTTTCCATAAATCAAGTGGTGTGATTCTAAGCATTGGATAGCCTATAACATTTTGAGTACCTTCAAAAAACCTGTCTTTTCCCTCATGCCAGTGAGCAGTGAAGTCTCAGTTGCTGAACAGACTTGACAACTGATTATTCTGCCAGCATAAACAAACAGACCACACAGTAAAGCACTTTATGGATTGTTATTCTATCTTGACATGCCAAATACCCACCGATGCCTCTTTACAGTTGCCCAGATACCACTAGAGCTCTCGGAAATCGGCACGTTCACCAAGACTCAGAACCAAAAGTACTGGTGAATGAATAATTTATAATGGGAAACAATTACACAAAGAACACAGAAAGAGGAACTGGAGGCCCTCAGCACTCTGCTGCACAGCCAGGACTCCCAGCCATCTTCTGTTTACATAGGAAACTGTACTACAGTATGGTGTAAATCAAAATCTAATGAAATGAAAAAGAAAAAGGAAAATTCAAACTTTGCAATAAACCAAATTTAACGGTATATTATGAACAGATCTAAGCGGCTTCTCACAGCAGGTCAATCTTTACTTTAGAAGTTACTGAATCTGGCAAAAACTTATTTTATTGCCCATTATAAGGAAAACAGTTTTTCTTTAGATTGTGAACTCTACAATATAATTCTATTATTTTATACAGCCTACTTGAGATAAGGAATAATAAACAGTGGTGAGAAAACTGGCTGCTTGTTTCCTGATTTAGGAAGGCAGTTTTTAGCTGAATACACTCAATATGCTTTTTTTTAAACTTTCAATTTAGACTTATCTGTACCACTCTTTCTACAAGGCATATTTGTGCTGGCAGATAATTAGTCACAAATACACATATCCCAACTGAAGGAAACCATCACAGCTTTGGACAGATTCCTTATTCCACCCTGCTTTGGATGGACATGGAAAATGATCACAGCAAAATGATTCATTATTTCTGCTATACAGCCAGATCGGGTTTGGAGCTGTTCTGTTTTACACCATTTAAATACAATGACTACCACTATATCTATACTAATAAATACAAGAGATGAGAAAGTATTTTCTGTCCTTGAAGCCACGTGCAAGATCTCGCATCTACACAGCTATGCTCTTTTCCATCTGCCCTAAGCAGGGCAACTGCATCTAAATTACCTGTTGGGAATGGTCCCTAATATGCGCCATATCTCCCCAACCCTGTCTCAGTGGACTCTGTGTAAGTGCTAGGTAGCACATACCAAAAGCAAGTCAAGGAGAAGACTAGTATTAAACAGCATGTACAACAAAAGACCAGTGTTCAGCCTGTACTCTCAGACTGTTATTTACCAGTTTTCTGGAGGACCACAATAATGACACAATGTCTGAACTATCTTAAAGGCATTATATCAGTAATAAAAATGAATTTATTTTTACTTATGGTTTGGGTTTTTTTTTACCTGGGTTTCAGAAGTTTTAAAATGTTGCCTTACTGCAGCCAAAATATCTTCAGTCTCATTCCGTGAAAAATAATAACAGTCTTCTTCATGTCTTAAACTAAGCATGCTATGTAGGTAAAATGCATAATCCTTATTTTTCAAGCTGAATTCTGAAGAACACACATCTCTGTGATGAAGAATGTAGTAGAGGAGAATAAGAGAAATTCTCTCAAATACTTCTTCGCTGAGATGGTCTTCTAATTCTCCACCAGCTATTAGTAGCAAAGCATCTGGTTCAAGGCACTGCAAAAAAAGAAAAATAAATGGAAATTCAACTCAAGCAACACATAGCCATTCATCTGCAAATACAATCAGAGGGGAAGATAGGAGAATTCAAGTCTTCAATTTAAGGGATCAAACCTAAGCCTACACAGATGCATGCTGATGGAATGGCAGGAGGAGGTTGCAGGTAATTCATTGCAGTTCTATGGCTGCAGGAACACACCACATTTTTTTTTCCAGAGCCCCTTATATTTTTAAGAAATGTCAAGTATCCAAGGGATTTAAGATTTACTGCAAAACAGGACTAACTCTGATCAACCAGTGTAGAGAACTGAAAGTTTTCCACTGACTTCAACATACTTTATTTCTGGTGACAAATATATTAGAAAAGGGCTAAAGCTACTAATATTTTCACCTGTGTATTCTATGTGTGTTTATATACTATAAGACAAAGACTGTATCTGGACTGTAGTTAATTCAGGATATGTAAACAGAAGTTATATCATATTCAATGCACTGTTAAAAGACTTAATTGCCCTGCAATCACACAGCTATTTTTATATTTTCTTAATTAATTCTGCTAACTGGAACAATTCGGTTCAGTGCAGAGCGCTAGCACAAGGTCTCAACACCATTTAGTCCTCCCAATGCATTTGAAGAGGGACCAAAATGATATACTCACCCTCTGCAGGCATTCTATCCAAGCACAGATTTTTAAGACGTATGTATATCTATATGAAAACCTCTCCACTTTTCTTCATACAAAGACACTTTCCAGAAATTTTTGCCAGCTCAAGCAAAAGTTAGTCTTTAAAATTAGACCAGAAGACCAATAGAGCTCTATGTCAGGCTATGGGAAATAAGATACTGAATTCCAGAATAAAGAATCTTTCTTGAAGAGATCCTGTAACTATTATCATTCATTGTGTAGCTGTTTTTTTCCCAACTGGCTCCTTTCCAAGCATGTTCTAGGCACGTCAGGTAATCTCAATTATCATGGGCAGAGCAGCCAGACTGTACATTTCAGAAAAGAAACTACAACGTGAGGGTACCATGGGAGGATCAAAACTGCACTCTAATAAATTCATGAATCCAGACAGAAGCTAGTTTTTCAGACTAAATTGTGGCTACAAGCATGATGCGTTGGTTGGTGTGGCTCACCTTGTATTCTAGTTCATTTTCCTACACAGAAGCTGAGTAGAATCCAACACATTGTCACATTCAGAAGCCAATGAAGGAATTTTCTACTTTTTAATAGAAATAATTCTAATAAAAATTCTCACAAATAGTTAATTTAAAAAAAACCCCAAAACTGTGGATGGCGGTAATCACCAAATTAAATATTTATACTCATCAATAAATTAGATTACAGTATGAACCACGGTGCCCTGCCTACGTTGTCTATCAAGATCTATAATTCTAACTTTTTCCTGATGCACGTCTCTGAGCATTAGTATTTGGGCTAGCAGGAATATAGACATTCTGTTTTCTGTCCCAGAAGACCTCAAATTAGTCAACCAGCCTTTTCAAACACTCAATGGTAATACAATAAACATACTGCATGTAGTGGAAGATTTTCAAAGATGTCTATAACATTTCAAAACCCAGTAAGGATAAAATGTAATCAGTAAAGCTGTTGTTTGCTCTTGTGAGGAAGACGACTAAAAAAGAAATTGCTAATTGGAAGGAAGAAGGTACCTTGTAAGAGATGCAGCTACTCCGTAGTATATGGGTAGCCCATAGAGAGTGACCTTTGAGCAGATATCAAGAGGATACAAATTGGTTCATCACTAGTTATTTTGCTGTCATTAATATTTTACAGGCATAACCATCTGCATGGCTTTGTTTTAGAAATGCTTATTTGCTATAAAGAAGAGGCTAACTTTGAACCTGGGCACTGAACCTTGCGTTTCTTTTGTTTAAGAGACCAAAAGTTAGAAAAAAGTCTCTTACCACTGCAAGAAATATGACTTCTGTGTGCTTAGGAGATAAAGAAGTGTTGGGTGCCATTCAACAGCTGCCAGCCCCTGCCCAAAGAATCTTGAGGCCAATACATAACAACAAATCAAAAAAGGATCTAAGACAGTGTTAAACTTCACTGCTTTTAAATACCCATTGGAGACATCATTAAAAATTAAAAACAAAACAAAAAAAAAATCTGAAAACAAAGTCATGTGGTATGACTGGAATCCTGGATTTAGAAGGGAATGTTGAGTCTGAAGTCAATTAGTTATTCCCAACAAGTATGGGAAAGAAAATGCCAAGCTAAGGTGGGGCATTCTGTTTCAAATTTTGGTGATCTTGAAGGATAGTGTTTCTTGCAGAGTTTTTCCTATCTTAGTTTACCAAATCTTGTTAAATCATCTTGGAAGATTTCAGCACAGGGCCATGATGCCGTGTCTCTCTCATGGATTTTCTATAGACAGCTGTGTTCATGTGGCACTGGGAGTGCAGGATCTGTGCACTGTAACTGACACAGCCAACACTGAGAAGTGCTGGAAATGGTCAGAGTCGTCAAATTCTTCCCACAGGAAATTTCCAAGATAAAGCCTAAACAGAGAGCAAGTCCTGACCAAAGTAAGCCCCAGCTAAATTTCACTTGGATTTTTTCTATCCAAGGACACAGTGAGAATGCTCTCCACAAATATATCAGAAATAGAAGAAAAAAAATCAGCAATCCAGAGAAGCAAAACAAAGAGGGAGAACAAGAAGGCCCAGACCCCTGTTTTGTAAGGTTTAGAAGGACTCTATAACCATTACTGTTTAACAGGTTCTCGGCTTTTGATCTGGGTCCATATATGGTACATATCCATTGCCCATATGTGCAAATAGAAAAACTGCACAATCTCGTTCAAAAAAATTACCCATTTAGGGAATAACACGCACCTACATTATTTATGTATGAAATGTCATGTTGAAGCTCATATGAAAAATGGGAGCATTTGCAGAAAGCGCCAATTAAATGAGTAGTTGTCTACTGCACAGGAGAAAAAGGATGTCCATTTCATTGGCTTGGCAAATTGCCAAGAACGGTATATTGTGAAAGCATTCACCTTTATGACCATCCTCATAATTCTGATATAAAGTGACACTCTGCCATATGTAGGTCACTGAACAATGCCAGAGCTAGAGCAATGTTAATTAAAGCCAAGACTGACCAAACCCTGAGTAGTCCCTTTCAGCTAAGTTGTTCGCTTACCACTATCTCCGTCCTACCAGAACCTATGATCTTATTACACTTGTTCCTTTCTTTGTGAAATCGGGAATTGGTTCTGAAAATATTCTCAACTCAACTACACAACCATTCCTTTTGTGAAGCTGTACCCTGGACTATTTCCAGTTTCAATTCGAATTTGTAGATTCATTGTTCTGCCTTTGATTGTCCTTGACCGGAACTGCTTATCAAAGCCCTCCCCTAAATCTTGAATATTTCAGTGAAGTGGCACATAAATCTGAGACAATCCCGTCTTTTATATTTATGAACTAAAATCCAGAACAGAAAAAAGAAAAAAAAAAAAGCGGCAGAACTGGTCCCCAATTTTTACCTATGTCTTTCCACAGAAGAAATCTTCTGTGTCCCAAATTCAAGCTCATGCTTTTATAGTTAGATCAAGGTAAAGTAGAAGAAACCTTGTTGGAAAATACACACTTGAAAACTTTTAAATGAAAATTATTAGTGCGATGGAACTGAAGCATGGCATTTTTAAGGAATCCCTGTCATGTTTGGAATATCTCTTCACGAGCTCAAACAATAAATAGTAATAATTCAGAATGAAATGATTAAAGCAGGGACAATTTTTCTGCTGCAACAACAAGCCCTTGACATGTTTAGGTTTTGTATTCAGGAGAGTATCACTCTAATAAATAATTTTAGAACTCACTGTCAATCCTGCAAAGATATCCCTCATTAATTGAAGCACTAACCAGATTACAATCCTCTTGCATGCCATAAATCCGCTGTGGGCACTCAGCTCGCTCCAGTAACATTTTGACCAGTTCTCGTGAGTGGTTCATGTGGAGCTCAGTGTTGTCAGCTGAAAGAACGCGTAAAACTTCCATCAGATAGCCTCGGCTGGGAGCATAGCTGCCATCCTGCCCATGCTCTTCCCCAGGCTGTCCTTCAGCAACGAGCACGCTGAATATGAAAGCGGAACATACCACCCCAAGAGCTGGACGCTTGGTCAGAAAACACATCTCCTCTTCCTGCAGTGCGTGATCTGCACTGAATGTTGGATTGTTGTTTGCACTTCACAGCTTAAACTTGAAACCTGAGGAATCTGAATGGTAAAGGGGAAAAAAACCCCAACCCTTTAATTAGTGTGAATGCAATATGTTTGAAAGGATTTATTAATTGGTCGGCTAAGCTGATTTGCAGTGACAAGCTGTTTTTGAACAACAGGGAGCCTGTAAGGGCTTTCCAGCCCAGAACAGCAGGAAACTAAGACAACCGTGGCCTTAAAACTTCTGTAGAATTACCATCAAGAGGTTGACTCAAAGTGCCTTTCCCTTCTCATAAAAGTAAAGTGTATGGTTTTCATTTCAGTGTTATGCTATTGCATTCACTAATAATCCTCTTCAGTAAGAGCAGGAAAATACCATAGCTTTCACGTTCATTCCATTATGAAACAGGTTTTTAGTATCAAAAATAGCTGTAAATAAAGATTACTAGTCTAATTCTGATACGAATGGGCAGTAATTATGTTACACGGCAATGATATAGAGCAGTTTTTATTTTGAAAACATTTTACCAATGTTGCCGAACTCCAGCTACACAGCACAAAACAAGAATGAACAGGATGTACTTAAAAATTAGTAATATTTTATGATCAGACAAAAGAGTTACAAAACTGAGGTCATAATTTCATTCATAGATCTCAGTGAGTAAACAAGACAAACAGACCAGAAGCAACAAGCTTAACTTGTTAACTCTAAATGCAAAAGATATTTTATACTGTAAATCTGTCTTGTCACTATCCTTCCTAATATACCATTGCCTCTCTTTTAACAATGATCTTTCTCAATATCAAAGTGCAAGAAACATAAAAGAGTTTCACTTCTCTTTTCCACAAGGAGATTTTCATTTTATCGACAGGCAGATGCTGGCAGTGACATACATTTTCAGATGATAACGCACATGTGTTAAGCAGTCACACATAAGTTCAGCTTCTTTTAACAGCAATATGATACATGTGCGTCTTATTTTAAAGGAAACTCCGCTAACAGAGTTTTTAAAATGAAAACAGAACTGCTGAATTCAAACTGGCATTCACTCAGATAAAGGTTAGTAAGTTTTTAGACGTTAGGAAATCTTTTGGTGTTTAGATACATTTCACTGTTAGCAGTTAGGAATATGTATCATTGTTACGAGGATGCACCTATTTCTAAACATTATTTTCTTACCTTCTGAAGGGGAAAAGATTGCTTGTGTATCTAGCTTTGTGGCCTGCCGAATCCTCAGAACTATTTAGCTGCTGGAAGTCCAATGTTTTTAAAATTCCTTGATGGTGCTGTGGAAGCTGGAGAGGATTAGTTTATTGCTGCCTTGAAAAGTTTTCAGTTGCTATGGAGAGAGCTGCTCTTAAGGTAACAATGGAGGTGGACAGGAATTAGTACATGTTCTTCTTGGCAAATTCTAAGCACCACATTATTGAATTTATTTCACATATTTTAGTAGTTATTTTATGTAAACAGTCTCTATTTTAGCAGTGCAAGACGTATAAAATCTATTGAGGAATGTATTTCATGACAGTGGATAATACATGCAAGCAATCTAACTGTTCTCTACGTTACTACGTTAACGGATCAACAAGCCTACATTCTACAACAAGCCTGAATTTTTATTATATTTTTTTTCCATCAAAACATTACTTCTTTTTGCAAATATGAGAACAGAATAGAAATAGATATCTTTTCAAGTACCTCAACTGAAAAATGGTATTTTTCTTTGGGAAACACTGTCCATAGTGAACAGCCTCTTTCATGCCCACTTACTCTGTGCCACATTTCCACCAATTAAAGAAGCTGGGATAGCTCAGACTGCAGTGAAAATAAATGTCTTCCACCCACTCGGATTTTCCAGAAGGATACTGTTACAAAGTCAACATTTACATCACCATGCCATTACAATATTATTGCACTGGAAGTTAGTGAAAACTGTCACGACTGACAGATTTCCACAGCGACAGGTACACCAGTCGTACCATTCCCCCACCTTCCAAACCTTCAGTGGGGTAATGAAGAATTAGCATCTCAGTTGGCTCAACAAATCCCGTGAAGCAGTCAGCCTGTAGTAATAGAAAAGTCATTATTGTCTTTAAAGCTAGAGTGACAAAAAATCCCCGTTCTAAAACACTGGTAGTGTTTCCTACAAGGTGGTGAGCTCAAAGGGAACCGCCTTGTTTTAGTAAGGCTGATACTGAGACAGTACCAACAGATACTGACTATAAAAAAAAATTAAACTGACAACACCAGCTTGAAAAAAGTCCAAAATGTAAACAAGTGTTCTCAAAAATGCAAAATACAAGTACATGGAAGTATGTATAAACTCTTATGTGATCAAGGCTGAGCATTTTAAAAATCAGGCATACTATTTGATACTAAAGTACAAAGAAACTCTGCAGATTTGTATCAAATTATCCTTTATTTCACTTCACAAATTACAAAAGATATTTATCAAACTAACGTTGCCAAATATGCAACTCTATGCAAACAAGAATTGCAGAAATTTTGATCTCAAAAATTTATTTTTATATGAATGACTGAAAAGCAGAAACACATGATAATACGCATCTCCTGTAGCTTTTATATAATTTGCTCTGTGAAACAAAGCTAACTACGTCCAGATTTGTTCCACTAATAAAAATAATTCCTCAGATAATGAGGGAATAGCTTCCAGGATTTAATTCCATGGATTGCTCAATCTCCAAACAAACACAGAATAGGTTTATCTGTATATAATTTGGTGCTTTGTATAAAATTACAAATTGAAACTAAGAATTCCTTCTATCCAATTTAAGAGTACAGAGGGTGAATTATTTCAATTCATTGAGACAAGCTAACACTTAAAAACACTTTTGATGATTTATAACTATTGAAAGCTGCTGAGAGAAGATTTACATAATAATAATGGCTATATTTTACATTAACATTTATATTACAGAGTGATGGTAAAAAAAGGAAAAGTTCAGCGTATTAAAAAGCAACAGAAAATAATCGGTACAGGGCACTATAGCTGATTTCAAAGGAGAATTCACTTCCCTTTTTAAGACTAAGTGTTGCAAACCTCCTCTGGCTTGTAATTGAGTTTCTCAGTGGTGGCAAAATCACTGAAGGTGACTCAAGCCTCAGGCTTGGCTTTTACGCTGACACTGAAGCACTACCTGTGCTTTCAGTCATGACATTGTCATCAAAGAATTTTCTGTCTACACAGCACTTGGATTACTACTTCTGAAGTAATTGCTAGCATCAGTTGCTAAGTCCTTTCTTCAAACTCTCCTGTAGTAGCATTATTCCCCGGCTACCTACCCATCCTGATGCTGTGCCAACCAATAAAATGGGACAGGGATAATAACAGAGGTGTGCAGTTAGATGCCTATTAGAAGTTTGCTGAGATGCATAGACAGAAAGGAATCACTGGTACAGTTTAATGTCTTAAAACCTCCCGAAGCACCTATCACTATTGTTGTTCTCTCATGTCTTAGAAGTCCGTGCCATTCTGACTCAAATTTGATTGCATGTCTTTTGGTGATTTTTTAATAAAGGGGGAAAAAAAGTCCATGCACAATGCTTGTAAGCCAGTGACTCTCTGCTTACTGTAGAATGATAATATGCACGGAAGAAAGAGCCCTCGGAGGAATGGGAGAACCGGAGTAACTCAAATTGACGTAGCTTACCATTCTAACATGATGACAGACTGCATATCACAAAACCAGAGGCATGATGAACCTCCTGATTAAACAAGCAAATGAAACTTTTTTTTTTTTAAATTCCATTCTACACTTAGCTAAGAATATTGGCATGATCAAGCAAGATTCTGAGCTCAAGAATTTGCAGAGATAATCAATCATTTTTAATCAGTTTGAACAGTTACCATCTAGGGATACTCGCAAGAGAGTAACTGATTACTGACAGGCATAGGTAGACGTCCCAGGAAAATAAGTAACAGACGAAATAAGATAAAAAGAAGATGGATAAAAATGGGAATTGCTCAAAACTCTTATTTCCATTTCATGACTGGATTCATGATCTCAGACAACTGCATATCAAATTTTCTCCATGCACAAATGCAAGCTTTTACGACTTAGAAAGCTCATATAGCAATATCCTAACTTCCACTCTTAGCGAACAGGAGCGAAGGCAATTTCCAAATGGCATAACCAGACACAGGACGTGATAAGCGCAGGCAGCAAGCCCTCTTTGGTTACAGGAATTTTATTTATTTATTTGGTTTTAATTTGAAGTGCACCAGTAAGACTTACTGCAGCTTATCTTGTTGTTTCTCCCACCTACGCACCTGCTGCGAGAACAAAAGCAAGTTGCCCATTCACAAATGCCATGAATCACTGCACTCTGCAATTTACTGGTTTTCAAAGCATCGGTGAATAAATTATGTAGGAATAGGAAAACTCTTTAGAGAACTCACTCTGAGATGACAAGGACATTCCTGTGAGCTCTACCAACCTGACAAACAGCTTAATTTTATT